TTATTTATTTCATATTTAATTACTCTATTTCTATTATTTATTTTAATAATATTTATTCGATTTTTCCTTTTACAAATTTCTTTAATTCATTATCTTAGTTCGTTAAGTAAAAAAATTATTGTTTTTTAATTTATTTTTTAAATATTTCGTTAATTATGTATATTATTTATTTCGATTATTTATCTGAATAAAAATAATAATATTTATTCGATTTTTCGTTTCACTATTTCTTTAATTAATTATCTTAATTGGTTAGGTAAAAAAATATTATTCAATTTAATTTATTCTTTAAATATTTCATTAATCTTGTGTTTTATTTATTTCATATTTAATTACTCTATTTCGATTATTTATTTGAATAATATCTATTCGATTTTTCCTTTTACTATTTCTTTAATTCATTATCTTAGTTCGTTAAGTAAAAAAGATATTGCTTTTTTTAATTTATTCTTTAAATAATTCGTTAATTATGTATATTATTTATTTCATATTTAATTAATCAATTTCTATTATTTATTTGAAACGTATATTTAAGTAAAAAAAGAAAAAAAATTAAAACTCAATTTAATTTATCTTTAAATATTTCGTTAATTCTCTTAATATATAATTTATTTTATATTTCATTTTATTTCTTAATACAAAAATAAAACAACAATTCTGAAAAAAAAAATTTATTTTTGACCCAAATTCGGGTCCGGACCCGGATTTGGGCCGGCTAGCCGACCCGGACCAAAATCCGGGTCGATGTGCCCGGACTGGTCCGGGCCAGTAGCCGTAACGGACCATCGCTGTGGTCCGTAACGGACCATTTCTGGTCTGTTACGGACGGTGCAGCGACGGAGCCGCCAGAAAACTCCATTTTCGACGAGCTCCGTCCCTTTTTTCACTCTTTTTCAACATTTTAACCTCAAATTCGATATTTTCTTACATTTTAACCATAAAAACATGAATTTAACCCATATTCATATCCTAAACATTCAAACTTTCACAAATTCGAAGTAGTTATTTATAGAAAACATGTCTAACCTTCCAGAAAATGACGGTCTCCGGCGAATCGAGGTGGCTCTGGTCTTAGTCGAAGTTGGTGAGGTCCAGGCTGTCCGTAGGCGACGTCGACGGTCCGGGCAGATTTTTTCTTTTCTTTTTTTTCTCTCTCTATTTTCTCTTCTCTTCTTTCCTTGATGGGGGGTATTTTCGACCCTACACAAATAATAACATTTTCCCTCTTTTTTTTTTTTTTTTTTTTTTTTTTTTTTAAACTTGGTCAAAGGCTATTTTGATAAACATACCGGGTGGGGCAGCCATTGCCCACCATTTCCTCCTAACAGTAGTAGCCGCTATTGGGTCTTAATTCTTCAATTCCCTGTTTGATTTAAATAAAAATCCAAATTTTGAAAAGAGTCGATGAAATATGTAGTCGAAAATTTGTGTATCCCATGAAATCTGTGATTAAATTTTATTATTATTATTTTTAAAGTATGTTTTAATCACTTTTATAGCTAAAGCAATATTTAAAAATTACTTATGAAAATCACGCACAGAAAGAGTTCATGTAGATGTATATTAACAAGGGAAAATTGTAGCAGCGGTGCTAAACCTTTCGTTTATTAGCAGACTTTGTCCAAACCTTTATTTTGTGCCAGCGAAAGTCCCAAACCTTTCATAAATATGTAGCCGAAGTCCAGATAGATGAAATCCATCCATTTCACCGTTAGTTGACCAAAGAACTGACTTTGACTCTAATTTTGACCATATTAGTAAGGGCAAAATAGTAACTTGCATATTATCCCATTAATTAAATAAGTTAAATAGATAAACCATAAATAAATAAAAAAAGAAAGAAAGAAAATTTTCTTGATTGATCTCTTGCTTTTCGACTTTTGGGTCTTTTTAGGTGACTACGTTTTTATTTCCTTCTGTCTAAAAATAGAATACCCAAAAATTTGGAGAAATTGATGAGAGGAGTTTGGATCGAGCGATCATGTCAGCTGCAAGAAACTTCAGCTTGTTCATTTTAACTATCAAGGTTGAGAATAATCCCATTTGTGCTGAGAGGAACCTCGGATCCAGATCTTCATTTCATTAAAAGGGAAAAAATTTGGATTAAAAGGGAAAAATCAGAATAAATAAAAGGGAAAATTGGACAAGAATCGAGCTTTTGGGTGGGATGGAGGTGGAGGTGGAAGCGAGAGTGGGGGTGTGGTGTTGAGTTGGAGAAAGAAGGTTGGAGTGGGTGATGGTGGTGGCCGGTGGATGGCGGACGGCACCACGACGATGGTCTATTGCAATTTGGATTGTTGGGGGGGGGGGGGGGGGCAAGAAGATGATGCCCACATTTTCTTTCTTTCATTTTTTTTTTTATTTATGGTTTATCTAGTTAACTTATTTAATTAATGGGATAATATGCAAGTTACTATTTTGCCCTTACTAATACGGTCAAAATTGGAGTAAAAGTCAGTTCTTTGGTCAACTAACGGTGAAATGGATGGATTCCGTCCATCTGGACTTCGGCTACATATTTATGGAAGGTTTTGGGGGAGGGGGAGGGGGGAAGATGATGCCCACATTTTCTTTCTTTCATTTTTTTTTTTATTTATGGTTTATCTAGTTAACTTATTTAATTAATGGGATAATATGCAAGTTACTATTTTGCCCTTACTAATATGGTCAAAATTGGAGTCAAAGTTAGTTCTTTGGTCAACTAATGGTGAAATGGATGGATTCCAACCATCTGGACTTCGACTGCATATTTATGAAAGGTTTGGGACCTTCGTTGGCACAAAATGAAGATTTGGGCAAAGTCTACTAATAAATAAAAGGTTTAGTACCGCTGCTGCAATTTTCCCTATTAACAAATGAAAGCAAATCAAATTACAAATGTGACAGTAAAGCTGGACATTTTGGTTCAGAAATTCGAAATTAATAAATTTCAAAACTTTATTATCGTTTGGTTTATTTGTCAAAAGCTATAGATTTGAGTCTAACCAATTTTACATTCGTACAAAACTTCCATAGGATAAAAGAATGTGTCTTCATTAAAGAATCTCCCTGAAAATAAGCGAATTAAAGGCACTAAAAGGATTTTTTATTTTTATTTTTATTTTTTTTAATAAAAAGTAAACATGGTCCCTTGATCCATCATTGATTAGATTTACATAACCAGAAAAGTTGGCCGGTCCCCCACAGTTGTCACTCTATTTCACGCGGAGAAATAGTTTTTATGTCCATTTTTATCATAATTCTCAATCGATCAAAATGGAATTGGACAGTCGGTTTCATCGAAAAAACAGAATCGATTTGAAAGTCGATCCACTTTTAGGTCAAAAATTCAAAGACGGTCGGTTTGCAGTAAAATCTAGGTGGTTTACTTCATAATTTTGTTTATTTGAATTTCTTACCACAGACCTATATATATTCTTTACCTTTTTCGGGTCAACGTAACTAATTTTCAAAATATTGATTATCTCGATAAAAAATTTCAAATTACAATCTTGCACTCAAATTATAGAAGTTTATTGAAAATTTAATCAATTTTTTTTTATATATAAGTTGGAACAATCTCATGAGAATGATCGCTGACTTTGCAAACAATTACACAAAATTCAGCCTTCCCTTTGCAGTATTTTCTTTGATTTGTTTTTCTTAAACTTTATACCATAAATAATAGAAATGATAATACATTAGGAATATTTATGTGCAGTAAGAGGAAAGCCTTTCCTCTAAGTATATATGGGGCGATGCGGCATTTACGCAATCCAGTCCAAAATTATAAAGACATCTCTCCTTTAATTGACAGACGTTGGACATCTGTAAAATTAAATAATGAGGTCACTTATTAAGGGGCTTAAGTTAGTTAATTAGATTAATTGACTAATGTAACGAGTTTAAGTAATCAAATTAATTAATATTGAATCAAGTTAAGTTTAATGTATGGGCCAAGTCCGCTTAAACTTCTATTAATAATTTGTTATGATTCGAGAAATCATAACATACGTTGATAATCTTGGTAGCACAAAAAGAGAAATCATAATAGCTCATTCTTGTTCCTTTGTATGGATTATCATAGAAAGCTAGATAATTGGACAGTTATGGTGTTCGAACAGCGTGATTGTTTGTGTTTCTAGATTGTTAAAGAAGTTTGTAGAATTTACTAAAGGTATAATTCTATCATAGTTTCTATCTAAATACAAGGAAGATCTTTGATGAAAATTGAAATTATTTTAAATTTCACTATGCGTGTAAAAGTAAATTCTCAACAAATTTTCCATTCAGTTAATTGATATTGTAATTAATGTTGTTAAAAGTAAGAAATTTGTCAAATAATATTTAGATTTAGGAAATTTATTAAACGGTTTAAAATATAAATAGATTGATTTAATTATAAATATATAAAAATGAGTGGTGAGTAAATTAATAGTACTTGTAAGTATCTAGAAATGTGAGGACAAAAAATGTCCCCAGTGTTTATGAACATGAGCCAAACATAGGCCGAGCAAACAGCAGAGGGGGAAGATGGAAGTGTGAATTAGGTAACTTCACACACAAATAATTGAAGGTTTCTTCATCTCCATGGATCATATGGAGTAAATGATCTAACTACAACAGCGTACGCATGCATGGTGCTCTCTCTCATTCGGCAAGCATGACTCAAGTGTGATTATATATGGAAGGTTTCTCTAGTACTACTGAATCATCAGTAGGAAATAAAGCCGAGGTGATGAAGGCTTGGAAAGGAGGAATGGGATTAATGGTTGTGCGGCTGATGATGATGCTTGAAATTTCATTAATATTATTAACGAGTGTATCTGCATCTCCATATGCATCATCTGATCAGATTATGCCAGCACATATAACACAGCCTGAAAGCTGCATTGAGCAATGCATGAGAGACTGCAAAAGCAGTGGCATAGGTGTGGCTGCCTGCATCAAATATTGTCCGGTGCACTGCCTTCCACCAGACACTAGTTCGCGCAAAGCCCACTACTGTAATCTTGGATGCATGCTAGATCAATGTGCTAAGTTCACTGATGGTATGTACACTACAATATCGTTCTTCTCCTCCCCTTTCTTGATTTCTGATAAACATATATACTAATTTGATGATTCATTTTTGCAATTTGCAGATGAAGAGATGATGGGACGCTGTGTTTCCAATTGCCGTACTTTCCATTGCAATGTCAAAGCCTAATGACAACATGGTATAATATAGCTTAATTTTCTTGTTTCCGATCAAGTGTATGGTTAGATGATGAACAAGGTCCACAGCAAATTAGCTTAAATTTTAGACAGAATAAATGTGGCATTAATAAAACTGCTTGTACTAATTTGTGAGTTAATTATATATCCAGTATTCTTCCCTTGCTGAGACAAATTAATTATAAATGAATTTTCAAAGGAAGTTGATGTGAAACATGATCACAGCATATCAAGTTATTTTAAACAAAAAAAGGAAACGAAAAGAAAAAAAGAGAGTATTTTCAAGACATTTTGCATGACTTCCGATGAATAATATTTTAGATCAATTAATTATGTTATCACTTAGAGGATAGCTAAGGAGAGTGTGATTTAGCCATTTAGGTTCTCAAAATGATCAAAATAGAGATTCATTAATAAAAGTGATCAAATACATATGTACTCACTTAAATGAGATAGGTGATATCTTAAAACGGCAAATATATATAATATCGTGAATAAGTAATAAGATTATTAATAAAATATGGTAATCATGAGAATCACATATTTATTGTGGATTCAAATAATCCCAACTTTAATCCAAATAAACAGATATTCATTTGTATGCTTTCAACTAAATTATAATATCCATTCTAAATAAACAAATAAAAGTGATTTGATAAGCTTTGGAGAAACATGAAAGTTAACAACGATATTAGGATTTAACTTTAACATCGATTCTTTTAGTTAACAATATTTGAATGAATTTGATAATCAATATTCTTAATTTGTTTAATCTCTGCCAACTAAAATTGAACCAATTTTTACATATTCTCCCACTATATTTCTACGCAAGATGCGAATAGGCAAAAGCACGTAAATACCTAGAATATTCAATTCTAGGTTACACAAAGTATAGTGATATATTTTTATTCTTATTAAACTTTACAATGAATAAAATTATTATGTTAAGTCACAAAATTTTTATATTGTTCACAAAACAAAATTTTCTATTATCATTTAATGGAACGTTGGAATCCCGCTTACTACTGAAGTCCACACATAATATAAATAAACTATACATGGACTTGGGGTAATCACAATCCAGTCCCAAAGAATAAAGATATCTCTCCTTTTTTGAATTGAATAAAGCTATTGGTCGGCAACGACTACAATAATCACCCTACGTGACATCTTATGTGGCAACTAATTATTTGAAACATTAATTTTTAGAAATTTTATTACCTCAAATAAAAGTTAATATCTCCATAAAAAACTGATACATAATGAATGTTGCAATCGTTTACTACAAATAACATTATTTTTTCTTATTAGATTAGCAAATATATATTTCTTAGAGTTAGTCTAAAGAGTTAAAGCAAACACCACATCAATCAAGGGTTTGCCAAATCATTTTCTTCTATATTTTAATGTAAAAAGATAGAAGACGATGCACATTTATAACTAGTGTAGTACGTGAAATCTTATATTGAATCCTTTATAATTCGTACAATGAGAGAATAGAATATGTTACAACTTTAGCTAGCTAAATAATTAAAACCAACGTTGATTTAAGAGTTGAATCCAAAGCAAGAGTAGATGAGGAGATTTTGAAGACAAAATGATATACATATAATTTTGTATACATATGTAAGTGGAGAATATAATTTATTTCAACTTCGAAATAAGAAGACTTAATTTTGTGCAAAACGTGCAAAAATTAATTTTCTCTTCCAAAAGTGATATTTACTTGTGTTATCTAGGGATTAACACCTTCTGTCTTCTGATAAAAAACTTGAAAGACCAGCAAATATAGAAATATTGAGCACATCAAGCTTTTATATCCCATTCCCTTCTGTTTAACCTGTTTCACAACGATAAGAAAAGAAAAAGAAAAGGAAATAAATTAATTGGGACATTGACTAAACGTAAAAACGAATGATTTCACTTGTAAGTCGACAAACATAAATCTTATTTGACATATGCTAAGTTAAACTTGGGATCAACATCGTAGTACATGCAATTCAAAACGAGTTCAACATGAACGCGTTATATCATACTACTAATTTGCTTTGTAATCAATATAGAATTGTCATTTACATTAGTTTAATTGTACATTCATTCTCTGAAATTGGAATTTTGTACTAAAATCTCTAAAAAGAAACGAAAAGAAAAATCTACTATTTACAGTTACCTGGATGGCATTTGAAGTTAGGAAAATAGACGTAGATGAAGTTGAAGTTGAAGTTGAGGAAGTGGATAACGCAGAAATCCCGACACTGTATACCATCGTTCCATCGGGCTGGAAGAGCCCATAGTTTCTCTCAGATGTCGGGCCGGGCTTCATGTCTTCATTAAACAATGCAAAAACATAAACTTCGAGTCTCATGTTAGGCCTTAATGGTGTCCCCTCATTTTTCAACTGCCTTCTCATTAAATTCCGATTGTACATACCGGCATTTTGGACCGTCGCGCCAATTTCATCTGGATCACCCTTTGATGGCCACCCTGTTTCGGAAACCATAACTTCAATCCCTTGAAAACCTAATCGAGCCATGGCAAATATTACTGCATCCACTTGAGCATACAGCATGTTGTCATAATGTAGTTTTGTGTAAGGATCAACCATTCCAGGATTACGGTTGAACAGTACATAATCTATAGGAATCCTATTGGGATCATCTTTATATGTAAAATAAGGGTAGGCATCGATCAAAAATGGTGCCTCTGTATCAGCCAAAAACTTTAAAATTTGCGTCATTATACCGGTGAGTTCAGATTGGAAACTTCCGGCAGAAGGTGGATATGATGCCGCAAGAACTGCTAAAGAATGGGGTGTTGTAACCTTAATGTATTGATCTAACCCTAATTTCACTAAAGCTGCATGAATGCTCACCATGGCTGGTACGACGTTAGTTATTAGTGTCGTGTCATCGCCGGCGAAAAGCTCGTTTCCGACAGCGATTCCAGTGATCCTAGTGGTAGGAAAATATGGCCTAATATGGGTTCCTACCCATTGAAGGGCTTGTTGTTGATCCATTAAGGTTGTTAACACTTGGTTTTCAACTGTCACCATGAGTTCTATGTTGGAGTTGGCAAATGCTGTCAAAACTTGAGGATTTGTGTCGTAAATTCGTGCTTTTGTTATCCTAAGTGAGTGCAGGAGCTCAAGAACTTTATCAGGGGGTGGTAAATTGTTTCCGACTTGACCATAATTTATGCCGAGGGAATCTACTACTCTTACAGAACCAAAACCTGTCCAATCCAAAATCAACAATTAATAGGATACATACACATAAGTATATATGTACGATAAAATATAAAAAAAAAATGAAGAAGAGGAAAAAGAAAATTGGTCAGCAATTACCGACGGCGACTCATACAGAACTTTCATCTACGGAATTTTGGACGGCTATAAGAAAATTTTTAAGTCGTGATATAGATATATACCTGATAAAGTTAGAAAGAATCCCAGAAATATATGCAATATTGCAATCTTGTGTGGAAATGCTTCCATTAGAGAGAGAGAGAGAGAGCGCTTCTTCAAGGAGAAGGGGGATCAGAGAGAAAGAGAGAGAATCTATCTCTTTGATAAAAAAGGAAAGAGGGGGAAATGAAAGAGATGTGCAAATAAAGATATATATAAGGTATCTCCTGTGAATTCCTTTCTTTGCGTGCTTGTTTATTTTTTCTGGTTTTTCGAGGTTTTGGTTTGGCTTGCCTTGTTAATGATGGCTTTGGGACAACCATATATACTGGTTTTGGTTGACTTTGGTCTCCTTATCTTCATCTTGTCATAGGTTCTTCAATTTTGGCGGCCTCAATTGTCTTTTCCCTTCTATTCTCGCTCGACTCCCCGACACTTTCTTCTCGTAAAAGAAAATATAACGGAGAATATTGTAAAAAATAATTTCAAACTCAAACCCATAGAGTCTCAAATTTTATTATTTTCTTGAGTTTTTCAGTTTCTAAAACCTATATTATCTTCATAAAATTACTTTTTGAGTTGTTTATTTTATTTAAGCAGAAACCATAAGAAAACATTTTTGGATAAAAAAAGCTTCGGTTCCAACTTCAGATTTCCACTAAATTGGCCTTTTGAATTTTTTTATTGATTATTCTTATAAAAAAATCAATGTATTGTTGAAAAAGTTGATAAATAAAATTATAATCCTGTGACTTTTTGACGATTTGTTCATCCAGCGGTTATATATATATATATATATATCAGTATATGAAAAATAATGTCAAAAATTCATCATAATCATACTCGTTATAATTAATAATCATGCGTCTTACTTTGATTACATCAATTTTAAACCAATGATCCTGATTAGATCCAACGTTCTAAAGAAAAAAATAACAATTAAAAAATATCTGGTGGGATTCTAATGGCAAATAAAAATTAATTAATTTCTTCCTTCTACAATAAAGTTACAAAAGCCTTTTAGTAAAGAAGACAAAAGAATGTGTGTGTATTAAACTATAACTAGTTAATTTCCTCCAAAAAAAATTAAAAATTATAAAACTTGACCTCCTTTTTTGCGTTTTGGAGGAGAATTCAAAGATAACCTACGTTATTTTTGGCCCAAATGTAATCATATTGAAAAGTGGAAGTGTTTGGTAAGTGGATAAGGAATGGTATACGTAGGAATGACGGAGATTTTAATGTTCTTATCTTGATGCAAAAAACACACAGTATTATATATGCAGACAAAAGTTATTTTCTTGGCCCCATATATTCATCATTTTGCAATTTGCAGTAACTTTTCTTTTGGTCTATGCAATATTACATTTGTACACATGATATATTATTAATAATTCTACAAAATGGGATATTGGAAAATTTCTTTTCTCTAGGATTTTGAGATTCCCTAACTCCTTATTGTGTCAAGTTTATAGTAGAAAGGGATCAAATTTGATTTTCTGACGAGCAATGGTTGTCTCTGAACTAAAGAATGGAAAGCAGGTGTAACTTAGGAGGGATACATTAAAGATGTCGAAACAAGACTGTTGATCGAGGGTGGAGCCGTGGGAACCCAAAAAAAAAATAAAAAAAATAATAATAATAATTGTACTGGGATGATATATACATGTAAAAAGTAAAATGGGTTGGGGTGCGTCGCTAAGCTTTTACAACATGATCTTTGAAAGATAGTTTAAGTCTAATGTTCGATAAGGGACATTAAATAGGCTAGACAATGTTAAAATAAAAATAGAAAAGAAAAATTTTTCCCAATAATATTTTCATAAATTCTGCATAGACTAGTAAACTATTTATGTTTTGATGTCTTCAAATCTATGAATTTTTCACGATACTACAGATGTCAATATGATCCATAGGAAAACCCATTGAAATAATAAAATAGCATGCAGCTGATTTAGCCACCAATATTACTAGTCAAGAAAATAAATATAGAGCTTTTTATTTATTTATTTATTGGATATTTTGCTTAACTCTTAAGCATCAAGGCAAGAAGGAAAGAGATGGATACAAACTTCTCTCTTTGGCCGAAAAGGGAAGACAGATATTCATACAATCTTTAAAACAAGTAGCAAAACATTGTGATAATTATTTGACTATTATAAGAATAATTAATTTTGACACTCCAGAATGTCCTAGTCAAAACTCAAGATATCAACTTTACAGAAAGGCCGTTTGATCTAATGACCTTATTTTTAATTAAAAACTAAAATAATATATATATATATATATATATATATATTCACCACAACGATTTGTGTTTGCTACAACTACGATCTGCTCCACTGTCGTCGCCACGGACACGGACTACCACTACCACCATCACCATCACCATCACCATCACCATAACCATCACCAACACCTCACC